GTGGTGTTCCCCAGGGGTCTATTCTAGGACCTCTGCTTTTCCTAATCTATATAAATGACATATTTTTATCTTCCAGTATATTAAACTTCATTCTTTTTGCAGATGACACTCATGCTTTCTATACCCACTCTAACACTACTACACTTTTTAATACAGTAAATCAGGAACTTGAAGAGTTGAGCGATTGGTTTAAAGCAAACAAACTTTCTGTCAACGCTGAGAAAAGTAATTATATCTTTTTCACAAAACCTTACAATTCAGACAAACTACCATTAAAACTTCCAGATATTCTATTAGACAAAGTTAGACAAAATCGAGCGTTCTCAGTTAAATTTCTCGGGGTAATATTAGATGAACATATTAGCTGGAAAGACCACATTAATATATTAAAAAACAAAATATCTAAAAACATTGGAATTATGCATAAAACCAGATATATTTTAAATAATGCATGCCTTAAAAGTTTTATTTTGCATATATACATAGCTATATTAACTACTGCAATATTGCCTGGGCTAGTACCTACCAATCAAAACTAGATTTAATATATAAAAAACAAAACCAAGCGTGTCGTATATTAACAAACGCAAATAAAAATGCCAATTCTAAACATTTAATGAGGGAACTGAGAGTTCTTAATATCTACGAACAAAATATATATTGCATACTTCAGTTCATGTTTAAACTCAAAAATGATCTGGTCCCTGAAGTCTTTCATAACTATTTTCACCTTATTAATCACAAATATTAAACAAAATACTCTATCAGGAACTACTATATTCCGAAAACCTCTTTAAGACAATCTAAATTCTCAATATCCAGCAGAGGACCCCAATTCTGGAACTCATTTCTAACAAACAAAATAAAAACGACAAACTCATTCCAACATTTTAAATGCGTTGTAAAGCAACAGCTACTAGACCTCAACATTAATGAAACAATCTCTTATTTTTAAAATTTTTCCTTTTTCAATATAATTTTTTTTTTCCTTCACTTTTTTTTGAAATTCATTTTTATTTTACTTGCTTGGTTATTTAATGAAGTTCATTGTATAAAAAAAAAAAAAAAAAAAAAATCACATGTATTATAAATATTTTATTATATTTGTATTTGGTTTATATTTTATTATATTTTGTCAACGACAAAAATTGGGCAAGATGATAAGACTATTGTCTTCTACTTGCTCCAGTCATATATTTCACGGTAAAATATTGTACAAATTTATATTAATAATGACAACATATATATATATATATAAAAAAAACAACAACATTCAGAAGCATCTAGAATCTTCCAGAACAGGTTCATTTTACTATATAAGAGTCATGTAAACCGACATGTAATTCAGTCAGTATATGGAAGTCAATCAGTCAGTATTATTAAGACAGTTTATCGAAGTGAGTTTTATCAAAGTGTTTTATCGAAGAACATCAATACAAGAAGTGAAATACAACAAGTGTTTCATAACATCAATACAGTCCACATCCAACCAAGACGTTGTGTTCCACAGAGCATTATTGTATCATCACAAAGTAAATGTAAAACGGTAAGCCTTGAAGAGCGTGATTATTTTTTTTATTTTTTTTATGAGTTCAAGTGCAAAAATGGTTTCCGGCAGTCTTGGATTGGAACTAAGAAAGAAAATTATTGGCGATTATGTAAGTGGAATGTCACAAAAAAGTATTTTTGATAAATATTGCGTGAAAAAATGGACCGTATCAAGACTATGTTCCAAATATCGTTCTACGGGGAAGTTGGCAGCAGATAACAAAGGTGGAAGACCACGTTCCACCACTTCTAGAGAAGATTCTATGATCGTCAAATCCGTCAAGAAGGATCCCTGGATATCATCAGTCGAGATACAAAAGCAATTAGAGCTGCCTGTATCAGACCGAACAGTCAGACAACGTGCTGTTGAAGCTGAATTGTTTTCTCGACGCCCTGCAAAGAAACTGCTGATTTTACTAAAAAACCAGAAGAAAAGACTCCTGTTTGCTACATCTCATATTGACTGGAATGTGCAGTAATGGCGAACTGTCCTGTTCAGTGATGAATCGAAGTTCAACATCAATGGGAGCGATGGCATTTGCCGTGTACGTCGAACGGCCAGAAAATGCCTCGATTTACGTTACTGTCATAAGACCGTGAAGCATAGTGGAGGCAATGTAATGGTCTAAGGGTATTTTTCTGCTAACGGTCTAGGTCCAATACATCGAATCGACGGAATAATGGACCGTTTTATGTATAAAAATATCCTGAAAGATGTTATGTTACCTCATGCTGAATGAAATATGCTAATAAAATGGGTTTTTCAGCAATAAAACGATCTGAAACACACTGCAAAAGTAGTCAAGCAGTGGTTTCAAGACAACCATCGATCGGTAATGGATTGGCCGCCTTAATATCCGGATCTTAACCCTATCGAGAACCTGTGGAAGATCGTTAACCGCAGAATTAATTGTGAAGGTGTTCGTAATAAGGATCAACTTTTTGAACAAATCCAAAAGGCCTGGGCAGCGATTTCACATAGTTTTATTGATCACCTCATCGAATCCATGCCTCGAAGATGCAAGGCTGTGATCGACAACAAAGGATTCGCCACGAATATATATATATATATATATATATATATATATATATATATATATATATATATATATATATATATATATATATATATATATATATATATATATATATATATATATATATATATATATATATATATATATATATATATATATATATATATAGATATATATATATATATATATATATATATATATATATATATATATATATATATATATATATATATATATATATATATATATATATATATATACATACATACATACATATATTATATAAATATATATCTTTGTTAACAACGATATATTTATTGAAAGTGTATTTTAGTGTCAAATTATTTTACATATATATATATATATATATATATATATATATATATATATATATATATATATATATATATATATATATATATATATATATATATATATATATATATATATATATACATATATATATATATATATATATATATATATATATATATATATATATATATATATATATATATATATACATACATACATACATACATACATATATTATATAAATATATATCTTTGTTAACAACGATATATTTATTGAAAGTGTATTTTAGTGTCAAATTATTTTTTCTATTGATAATATATTTGTCGATGCTTGGTGATTAGTGATGTTTTTTTCGGGACTTAGTGACATTTTTTTGATGTTATTTTTAATTGTAATTACATCAAAATTAATGTGTATATAATATATATGTATATATATATATATATATATATATATATATATATATATATATATATATATATATATATATATATATATATGTATATATATATATATATATATATATATATATATATATATATATATATATATATATATATATATTTTTTGTTTTTTGTTTGTTTGTTTGTTTGTTTACATTTGACGTAATATATAAGTTACGTATTTTTCAAATACAAACAAGGCTTCTAAAAGAAGATCACAATGATCTTATCGTCAGAAGCATTTTAAAAAAGAGAGTACGTAACATATTATAAAAACTCCTTTTTACAATAAAAGTGCGTAAAAAAATCATATAAAAACAATAAATCGTACTTGCATAAATGAAAATAAATTGTAAACAAGTATAAAACAAAATTTGAACATACATGACAATAACTTGAACATATATGACAATAAAAGTTATTATTATTTTGTTTTTTATCACAAAATAAATTAAAAATATTAAAAGATATTTTCAATAGACAGAATGTGATCTTTTAATTTATTTTTAAAAACAGGATAAGTTAGGGGGTAAATCGAAGTTAGGCAAAATAATTTTGTTCCAGAGATGAGCTGCACGATAAGTGATACAAAATTTATTGAATTTTGTTCGACAGAATTGTCCATTTAAATAATTATTATTCCTCATGTTAAACTTGTTTAATGGTTTCAAAATAAAAAGATCTTTAAAAATCAAAGGAGATAAATCATGCTTCCACATATAGACAAAAGATAAATTTTTATATATGTTTAGTTTATATATATCTAAGATTTTCATTTGATTAAAAAATATTGAGGAATGTGCGAACCGATCCGCAGAATGAGTTAAACGGATCGCATGATTCTGACGGCGATAGAGACATTGTAACATGCTTTGATCAGTGCTACCCCAGGCTATAACTCCATAACTTATATAACTGTGGATAAAAGAGTAATAAAGTTTAGTTAAATTAATTTTATTTAAATGAGTATGCGTTTTATATAAAATTCCAATACCTTTTGAAACTTTCGAGCAAACATTAATATGATGTTTCCGTGTGATGTTCTCGTCAATAAAAATATATATATAATATATATGTATATCACATAACATTTCAAAGAATAAAATTTATGTACTGTTTTGTAAAATATAGAAACAAAGTTATAAGGTCATTTATAGTTGTATAAATTCTTTGAAAAGTAAAATAACAAAAGTTTGGGGCAGTTCATATAGACAAAAATCATTCCGCCTAACCGGTATAAGTTAACCGGTACAATTTTTTTTTACTATTTTCAAATAAATTTTTATTTACCTTTATCTAAATTTTTATTTAGTTAAGAGATGATAGTATGAAAATTAAAATTTCATGCTTTGCATTTAAAAATTACGACCATATAAATTTTCTAACCCTCTTAAATTGAGGAGAGTTCAAAGTTTATATGGCATAATTTTTAAACACTGAGAGATTTTACTAAGAAATTTAAAACTTCGGTAAATATAAATTTAGTAGAGAATAGTAAAAAAAAATATTTTATCAACATAGCTAGCTGTGGAGGAAATAGCTAAACCAGTCCTTTTAACCTGTTTGACTTTTGCTAAAAAATGAACTGTAAAATGAAAAATAGGTAAACGTTTATTGTTTTATTGATCCAAACAGCGCGTTTGATAGGTTTTCGAGTAATCTTTTACTTACATTGTTATTTTACTCATCAAAGTATTAAAAATAAGAAATGAATACTTTCTAATAGTGGAATTATTAGAAAGTATTAAGTCAAAATTAAGACATAATTCAAAATTCACTTTTTTATTTAAAAAATTATTTTTTTAATTTAAAATATTCATAAATAATTCAAGGTTCACTTTTTAAATTTTTAGTGTAAGCTGCGCTAAACTTTGTCACTATTGAGAGAACAGGTAAAGAAATAGTTAACGCGCCAAAAGACATGAATGATGCAGCAAAAATTTTACCAGGAATTGTCATAGGTACAATATCTCCATACCCTAACGTAACTATCGTTTGAATAGCCCACCATAGAGAATGGGGAATGCTTTTAAATTGGCTATGAACAAACGAGTTTTCAAAAATATATATGATACTGGCTCCAAATATATTAAGTAAAATTAAACAAAATAACAAGGAACGCAAATCTCGCATGCTGGACTTGATAATGATAGTAGCAATTTGTAAACGTTTTGAATGCTTAGTTATGCGAAAAAGTTTCAAAACACGTGCTAGTCGTAACGTATGTAGATATTCGTAAGAAATATATCTGTAATCTTTTAAAGCCAACATGAGCAAATAACATATAACTGTTATTGCGTCAATTATGTTTAGCCATTTTTTAAGAAATTTTTTTTTATTTGGACAGAAACAAAATCTTACGAGTAATTCAATAAGAAACCACGCATTAGTAATTCCTTCACCTATAACCCATATATGTCTGCTCCAACTGCTTGAATAGTTTCTAATTGAAGGTACTGAATCTAAACACATAATAACTACGGACATAACAATCATGAAAGAAGAAGTCAATGCAAATATTAGAGCGGAAGTTGATGTATCATTGTATTCTATGAAATTCCAAATTTTTCTGCTAAATGGAATATTAGGAAAAGTATGTATTTTTTTTTGTTCAAGATACCCAGCTTTCTTTATCATTCTTTTAATAACTTTGTCAGATATTTCAAAGTATCGACATTCTTTTACAAATACGTCAATGGAAAGTTCTGGAGGACAAGAAAGTCTTCCTTGAGATTGGTAAAAAAACAAGATAGCCTCAAAACTAATTCGATTTCGATCAAAAAAGATTTGTTTTGATTTATGGCAAAAAAATTTATTTCTTTTAAGCTCATCACCAAGAAGTGTGTCCGGATAGCGATTCAAAGTACATTCAAGCGTTTCAAAAGTATGTCCGCTCACGTTTATTAAAATCTTTTTTTTATTCATAATAAATTTTTATAAACACACACTCCGTTATTTGTGGCTTACCACACGATACGGATATTTACAAAATACATTCGGGGTTTAAAAACAAACTTGCTTTTGCTTTTAGTATGTAGTAGTCAAACATGCCATGCAGTGGTCAAACTATATTGGAAGATTAGTTTTCAAATTTTCTAAATAATCACAAGAAAAAAAAAAAAAAACATTTAAAATAAAAACATATAATTAAAAAATAATATCAAAATAAAAATCACATATTGAAGCTAAATTTAGCTTCCATTTCCAACTGGATGACGTGGTTTTTGTACAAGCTGCAAGAATAAAAAATTGTTGAACAGAGCTAATGCCGTTCAGTGTCGAGCTAATCTCGTTAAATGCCGTTCAGTGTTGACCTTTATTTACTCATTTTAGAGCAACAAATATTAATCTTTTTAGTCTTATGTTTGTTACGAAATTAAAGTTCAATTGAAAACAAATTAAAAATTAAAAATAAATGCAGTAGTTGTCTATGAAGCGATTTTAAAAATGACTTAAAAATGCACTATTTTATTCTTGCATAAAAGTATTTCTTTGAAAAAAACATTTTTTTTTAAAATAACTTATGACAAATGACTAACTAATTGAAACAAAAACAACAAAAAAGTGACACAACAAACTGGTTCACACTAATAAATTTATCTTCATCAAACTTTTTTTCAACTCAAAGTCTTTACGCTAAAAAATTTTATATTAAAGCCAAAAGTGAAAGTTTTTAAAAACCTTCTCATTTAAAAAACGTTTAACAAACAAAAAAAAATAATAATAAAATAACTACCAATGCCTATCACCATACTTTTTAATGAAAAAAACTTTTTTTTTATACTCACTTATAACGAAACATTTGTAGCTTTATAAAATCCGGTAATAATATAAAAAAATAAATTATTAAAAAAAAAAAAAATTCACTACAGGTTCTTCTAACTTTATAAAAACCTCGTAATTATTATTTATTGAGTGAATTGTTTCTTAAAACTCGATTCTAACTTAGTACAATAGCTTATAAAATAATGAAAGTAATTAAAACTAATTGCCACTGGCAGATCTGTTTAATTTGTAAATGAATCTGGATTTGGATTTTTTTTTTTTAGCTTTTTTTTCTAAAAAAGGAACTCAACTGCGACACAAACACAGATCCGGAATAACTCCGTAATACAAGCCGTAATAAATCAGAAATCAAAATAGCAAACCATATTTATTATAAAATATATGTAATAAGCTATAATAATTCATGGTTATTACGTTTGCACCTTCTAACATCGTGTGTAATATCTGTCCGCTTTCTCTATGCTATCTTTCTAACTCGACTACTTCTGTCTTTCACTCTAACATATTTTCATTCTTCCCAAACTCACCTTACTTTTGGTCCGTAGAGCAGGTTATCACGCTCCTTAGGGAGCCGAACTTGTCTTTGCGGGCTTTGGTAGTGTGGTCTCTATATGGCAATTAGCCAGAGGAGGATAAACCACAATATGTTTAATAAAATTTTAATTATTATAATATGTATACTGTATTAATAATGTATTATCATTGCTGTAACAACAATATTTATAATAATATATTATTATCAATACTGTTGTTGATGTTGCTGCTGTTGCTGTTTATTGTTTTTGTATTTGTCGTCGTCGTTGTTGTTGTTGTTGTTATCGTCGTCGTCGTAGTTGTTGTTTTCGTTGTTATTGTTGTTATTGTTTTTGTTACTGTTGTTTTTACGGCATTAATTTAAAATTAAAATCTTCGACTCATTTTCTAATTTAAAATTAAAATCAACGACTCATTTTCTCAACAACCGTACTTGGTAGTTTAGTTGTAAAGATGTTCAAAGTTGTTTTGTTTTTTTAACTTTTATGTAAACTTATTTTAAGTTAGTTTTATTTTTAAACTAGAATAGTTAAAATGAATTATGTTCTGTTTTTTGAGTTGCAGTTACAGATATTGAATTTTTTTCTAATCAAATAATTTAATTTTTTAAATCGATTTTTTATGCACCTGCCAAACCTCACAAAACAACTTTATGAACTAAAGTAATTAATTAAATTGAAGATTATTAAACTATATATCTTGCACATCTTTTATTTATTTTCTACACAAATGTTTAAATTTGGCTTTAAATAATAATTTATTAATAGGAACTTTTAAACTAAGTTTCACTTAAAAGATTCACAAGTATACAACTTACCATTTCAGGTGATCTTGTTTCTGTCTGTATAGGTTTACCAGTTACAGCTTTCGTTAATAATTAGTAGTTGTCAAGATCTGACACTATTGAATAATTATAGATTTTACAGTAAATCATCAGGGTCCAAAAAATCTGCGTAATTTACTATGCAACTTAAAATTATTTTGCTTCTATTGCATATGTATACAATATGCATTTTTTATATTCTTAAGCAACAACTAAATTAAAACAACTTCTTAGTAAGTCAATATTTTTACACATTTGTTTTATCTATAATAAATTGTAAACATTTATCTTTTAATTCATTCAGTCCTGATTTAACTGCTCATCTAACAATTTTGTGTGTTGGTTCTGGTTCCACAACCGTTTCATAACCACTGCTACCGTTTCATAACCACTGCTACCGTTTCATAACCACTGCTACCAGATTGAAAACTAGTTAAGTCGCAGAAGGAAAAAAATCCTGGAAACAAGTTAACCGTTTTTACAAATAAAATTACTGCTTGAAAACAAAAGCATGCAGAAGTTCTAAAACAGTTGAGAAACAAAATAAAGTTAAGAAAAAAAAATTTACTCAATAAAATATTTTAATCAGCTATTAATTGCAAGGGCAAAAGAATCCATCAGCTGCTTAAAAAAACAGTGAATTTGATCGATCGCAGCTTCATGCCAATAAACTTTTTCAAACATGCTAATAACATTTATTATTTAGCTAAAAATAGGATTTTGTTTTTTTAAACAACAACTTTACTAGAGGAATGATACCATGCCAAAGAGAAAACCCATGCCAAAGAGAAAATTAGCAAATATCTGGGATTTCGATTTAGAAGATTAAGGTAACCACTTACAGAATTTAATTCACTAAAAATTTAAACCACTTAATTCACTTAAAAATCTATTCTATTTTTCTGGTGTAGAAGTAAAAATAAAAAATAAGGTGTACAAAAAAAAAAAAAAAAGAAAATATCATTTTTAAAGTTTGCATTTTCTTTAGTGTTGCTGCGAAAAATATATTTGACATTTGTGGCATAATCCTGCCGCTGAACAGCAAAGATTTTTATAAAAGAAGATTTATAAAAGTTAATTACAGGTGCATCAAAAACAAAATGTTATTAAACATTAAAAAAAATGAAAAATCATGAGCATACCTAGTAACAAACATGACACATGCCCACCACCAATTGTTTCCATCAACTCTAAATCTCTCGATCGGATTTAAATATAGAATTAAACACCGACTAACAATGGCAGAGCATCAAGCCCAAGTTTTCCTCAGCTCAGTACCTAAAATGGCATTGCATTTATAGCGAAATACTGGTAAAAATTTACCGAAACATTGGACTTAGTGAATTGATTTATAATGCACTGTTACTGTGTACCAGCAGTATCAAAATAAAGTGCAAAATACAGCAAATACATCTAAAAAAGCCAAAACCTATAGTTATTAGTCTAGAAACCGCGAGAACAAAATAATATATCAATAATACTGACACATACAATCATCCGCTACACATGAATAATAAAAAAAAAATTCTAAAATAACAACAAGACAAAATATAAACTTCGGCCTCAACCCATTTTAAATACGACATATAAAAATAGTTTTACCCAACCAACATTGCGTCTTGTAAAAGATAGAAAGCATAACCTGTACACTGGTTAATCAAAGCAACTACAAACTTAACTACCATAATATGTGCTTCTATGTGTATATATATATATATATATATATATATATATATATATATATATATATATATATATATATATATATATATATATATATATATATATAATATGTAAAATTCAATAAAAACGGCTGCGTATAAACTTTTTAAAAATATATATTTGTTTTTATTTTAATATATTTTTTCGATATTTCGCTGATCTATTGTGATCTGCGCCATCAGGTGTAATAAATAAAAATCGTTACAAAGAAAATTGTTGTAATAAAAACTAACCGTTAAAAAAAATAACATTAAAAAGAGCATAACAAAATACAAAATAGCTTTAAATGTTGACGTCAAATAATCTAACAAAAAATAACCCCCAAGTTTTTGTCGTCACGTAATCACCATCATCCCTATTTAAAACTTTTTTATCACTTCCAAGTTTTTGTCGAACTTTAGCTCTGTTTACTTCGAGTGACTCTCGAATTTTCCGAATATGATATTCTGGAGCGATTAATATGGTTTTGGGATGTAACCAATCAAATGTACCCTGGCATGATTTGGAATGTTCGGTAGCACCTGAACTGGCCCATTTTCCTTTAACACTATTTTTCTGGTGTTCAATACATCTCGATATAACTTTCTTCTTAGTTTCTCCAATATATATAGAATTGCATGAACATTTTAGTTCGTAGACGCCTGGGTTTGTATTTGGAGGAAGTTTTGTCTTATTGTTGCATAAAATATTGTTTAAATTTGGAGCGGATGTAAATAAAACTTTTTTGTTTTGTTTTCTAAGTTCCTTTCTAAGTTTGGGACCAACGATTGGTATCCATGGTAGTTTTATAAATGGTTGGTTGTCAGTTGGTTTATAATTGGTATTTTTAATTCGTTTTTTAGAAAGTTTCTGGCGATGTTAATTAGATTGTTCTTGTTGTGCCCGTTTTCAACAAACATTTCTTTTAGAAAATCAATTTCTTGTTTGAGATATTTTTTGAGAGCATAATCTCTTTGCACGACATAAAAACCCTTTGAATACGCCAGTGATAATATTAGGATTGATGTTTGAGTTAGGTTTTAGTTGAATATTAGTTATTGCTTCTTTTCGATGTATTTGAAATTCATAAGCTCCATGTATTGTGTTTGTAATATTAACATCTAGAAAGTTAAGCTGTTTTTGGTAGTTTTCGAGTTCAACAATGTATTTTATGGCAGGGTTTTGTTCGTTTAGGATATTTAGAAACATTTGTTGTTGTTTTATTGAGTTAAAGCGAGCGTGACAGTCGTCTACATATCTCACAAAAGTTTTTGGTTCACATGTACAAATAGTAGCTATATTAAGAGCTTTTCTTTCTATATTCTGTAAAAACGCATCCGCCATAACAACCATTAAAGACAAACCTATAGGACCTGAATTAGGTATTGTTCGGATTTTGTTTTCATATAGAAAATAGCAAATACTCAATGAAAGTTCTATTAATTGGTGTATGTCTTCAAGAGATAGTTTAGTTCGAGCCTTTAAGTCGTCTATATCATTATTCAATATATCAATAATAACTGGAATAGCTTCGTCAATGGGTATGGACGGATATAAATTGACTACATCAAATAAAACTTGAACCTCATGGATCTATTTTCCATTGTCTGGCTTCATTAACAAAGCTATTGGAATTAATAAGTCTATTTTTGTTTTTATTTAATGTTGGTTGAATGATATTAACGAGGTATTCGGATGTTCCATATGGTGGTGTGTTGATTGTTGACACAACAGGGCGCATTGGGTAATCTTTTTTAGGTTTGTGCGCTTTAACCATTCCATATATTCTAGGCGGTACACAATCTGACGGATACATTTTAAAATATGTAGTTGTGTCTAGTTTACCCTCTTTTCTTAATTTAGATAATTGTTTTTGAAATTTGGCAGTAAGTATGGGTGTCGGGTCATAATCAATAATTCTGCTATTTTTAATTGTTTCTTCTAATTTAAGAGATGCATCTCTTTGGTATAGTAGTGCAAAACCTGTGCCTTTATCAAAGGGATAAATTTTAATATCGAAATTCATCTTTAATTTTCTTATAGAAATACGTTGTTGTTTAGATAAATTATCTTTTAATCTTAATTTTAATGAATTTGTCAAAATATTAGAACAGTTTTGTCTTAGAGATTCTGCATGTATTGATTTATCCAATTTTTCAAGTCGTAAAGCGCACATTTCAATATTTGTTATTATGTCCATATAAGGGATTTTCTTCTGAAATGGCACAAATTTTGGACCTATTTTAGAAGTTCAGTTGTTGCTTTATCCAAAATAACATTAGTTCAATTAAGTATAGCAGGTTTAATAACTTGATTAGGAGGATTTATTCTAGGAGTATTTTTTATATTCGATGTAGTTTGTAATTTATTGTATTTTTCTTTCATTTCCGTTTTTTTCTTAAGATAATGGTAATTTTTTGATTTGTTAGTTATACTATTAATTAGCTCATAGTCATTTAATCTTACTTTATTATGAAGAAATATATTTATTTCATCAATTAGTTTCTCACTTAAGTAAAATCTGTGTTTTGCTTCGTTACGAGCATGAACTAATAGTTTATTTCTGTATTCTTTCATGATGTTCTTTGCTTTTTTAGTATATATTGGAGTTTTTATTTGAAATGATTTTGGAGTTATGTTATTTGATATGCACTTTTGAAGAAAAACGAGTTGGTTTTTTGCATTAGCATTTCGTATCTTCAAATCTTGTAACTTTTTGGTATCATCGTAAATCTTTTTGCCGTAAAAAGTAGTAATATAATCTTTAAAAGTCATTTTCTTGTTATACGATAATAATAAAATATGTAAAATTCAATAAAAACGGCTGCGTATAAACTATTTAAAAATATATATTTGTTTTTATTTTAATATATTTTTTCGATATTTCGCTGATCTATTGTGATCAGCATCATAAACCGTTAAAAAACATTAGAAGTGATGAAAAAGTTTTAAATAGGGATGATGGTGATTACGTGACGACAAAAACTTGGGGGCCATTTTTTGTTAGATTATTTGACGTCAACATTTAAAGCTATTTTGTATTTTGTTATGCTCTTTTTAATGTTATCTTTTTAACGGTTTTTAATGTATATATATATATATATATATATATATATATATATATATATATATATATATATATATATATATATATATATATATATATATATATATATATATATATATATATATATATATATATATATATTTATGTATGTATGTATGTATGTATGTATGTATGTATGTATGTATGTATGTATGTATGTATGTATGTATGTATGTATGTATGTATGTATGTATGTATATATGTAAAAATTCTGTAATTTCTAAATTGTTTGACCGTTGAATTTAAATAAATATCAAATTAAAACTGTACGATATGTATTTGTTAATTTTTTTGATTAAAATAGTATTTCATGAAGCCTAATTCTGTATTCAGTTTTTATGTAAAGTAAGAAAAATATTTAATAGGATATTATTTTTATATTGTATTTTAAGTGTTTTAATATCTTCAATTTACCCAAACACATAATATGATAAGTTCATAATAAACATACATATATTTTTTAAGATAAAAGGCGCCAAAACTCGGATATACCAAAAAAATCCTTTAACCGGCTCTGACCAGTATCAAAATCGGCCTGGATACGTTGCTGATACATGGATTATTTGAGGTTAAAACTTTTGTATTCGGAATAAAAATGTCTTTGAAAAAAACTTCAAGTTTTATTATTATCTTTAATTATAAACTATTTTTACAAAAAAAGTAGGATTTAGTTGAATTAGTTCCGTACGCCGACAGACAGTACATTGTACATTGTACATTGTACAGTACATTGTACGCCGATAGACAGTACATTCCGTACGCCGATAGACAGTTAACCATCCTTGTGCTTGTGCTTTATTGCACGGAAGATGATACTATTTTATGGTATTTATAATGAGAGCTGATAAAATTTTGAGTCTTATAGCACTGACAACTTCTTTAGGTAATGCGTTCGTGGGTGAGCAACGCGAATATTAAAGAAATTTAAGCAAAATAGACAATTGTTGACATTTTCACGATAAAAGCGCTACTTTTTTGAGTAGCATTTGACTGTTGAAGCAAAAAAAAGAATCATAGCATTGCATTTTTTAGGGATATTAGCAGCCTTGCTTCTACTAGGATCCGGCGAGTTACCACGTACTTGATTTTTTTTGCGTCGGGTTTAAAGAAGGCGGAATGCCTTTCTTAAGTATATTAAAAAAAATCATTTTTTTTCCTAAATCGTTGGTGGATATGTTGAAATTTCATTTTTTTAGATAAAAAAATAAATCTCATATCCTCTAAAGTCTGTCTATTTTTTGCTTCTTCTGATGCTTTGCAAAGCATCAGAAAAAGCAAAAAATAGACGGACTTTAGAGGATGTGAGATTTATAACCATAACGAAAACAGTCTTTTCTCCGAACACTCAATTAAGCCCTCCAGTAAGTTAGCGGCTATTCGTATCAGTTTTTTTTTTCTTACAACCTTTGGTGTTATAATCTTTGTTGTTATCACTAACTTTTTTCCGCAAGGATTTTTACAATAATGAACATGAATCCCAGTCAGTCCATGAGGGCCAAGAGGAACCAATGAGTTCTCCTCTTCTTTTAAGATCACCTGCTGCACACAATATGTGTGATTCGAAGCACTGTGGATTAGTGAACTCAAACAATTTATCTGAAGCTGAGCTATGTGAATTTCAAAGTGACTTATCAGAGTCAGAAGAAGGAAATGTATCCAACTGGGAAGAATGTGATGACTTGGTAGTAATTAAGTTATTATAAAGTTCTCTCAATACCAGTTTTAATTATTTACACAATTATTGTAATAATTTTTTTATAACTTTGCCTTACTAAGGCTTGAGTTTCCTTGTAAGTACCAGGCATATTGGATTAATTATCGTATCCCTTACCGCAACAGTTTCGAATATCAACACGTTTTTTCGAATTTTCATTTTTTTCAAATATCCAGACCAACAGTTTCGAATATCCACAGCCTTTGTTATCACATTAGTTTTAAGCTTGGTTATATCGAATTCTTTCTTCTTCTCAAAAGCTTCAAAACAAAAAAATTGTTGTTTAATTTAAGAGCAATTAGTTTCTCTTTCAGAGAGGAGAAAACGAATAACAGAGGTTATCTCCTCAGTATGAAATGTAATTAGGGTACCGTCGACTATGATGGTAAAGTAGAAACATCTTGAATTTTTTTGAATACTGCACATTAAAAATATCTCGTTTCTTTAAAGAATGTTCAAACGACACATCGCAATAACATATTGCAATACCACAAACATTTTTTAACAAAATATGTTTTTTTAAATCGTTGTTAACTTGCCTCAGAAACGTAAGATCTGTGGTTCACACCCCACCTCTGAGCAAGTTTTGCGACATCGGTTGGGAAGGAGGCGTGAACTTCCTATTAAATGCTCTTCCGCGGTGCTCTGTGATAAGACCGTTAAGACTTCTTGGGGCACCTAAATCAACTTAAAAAAAAAAAAAACTTAGTGACTCCAATAATAATATTCTCTTAATTAGATCATTTTATTCAATACTTTACTTTTTTTAGATTTCATCTGTATGAATAACTTTTATATAAATGCGAAGCAGTTGAAAAACTGGCTTAAGTGCGAATTTGCATAAGTGTGCCAAAAGAATTTGCAAACATTGGCATAAGTAGAAACTGACATAAATGCAAAACAGTTGCAAATACTGAAATAAGTACGAACTGACATATGCGAATTGGCATCAGTGCAACAAAAGAATTTGAAAACATTAGGATAGATACAAATAGACATTAGTGCAAACTGGTATAAGTGCACAGCGGTTGCAAAAACTAGCATAAGTGCAAATAGGAATAAACGCAAATCGTTATAACATAAGGTCAAGTATATGTATGAACTGGTGTAAATTCGAATTGGCATAAGAGCGCCAAATAGAATTGCAAGTCTTACTATAAGTGCAAACTGGCATTTCGCACTTATGCCAATTCGCACTTATGCATACTCGCGCTTATACCAACGTTTACAAATTCTTTTGGCGCACTTATTCCTATTTGAACTTATGCCAGTATTTGCAACTGCTTCGCATTTATGCCATTTCACACTTATACCGATTCGTACTTACGCAAATGTTTGCAAATTCTTTTAGCGCATTTAAGCCATTACGCATTTTTGGCAGTTTGCATTTGTGCCAGTTTTTGAAACTGATTTGCACTTTTGACAGTTCGCACTTATGCAAGTTTGCACTTACACCATTTGCACTTATTACAGTTCGCACTAACAAAATTAGCATTTATTTAGTCGTCCCATTTTTCTTAAGTGACCAAACTTACATGGTGACCAAACTTAAGAGATTTTGCGATATCTAATATGAACTTTTTCAGAACAAATAACAAATTTAGCACAAATAACAAGGATGTAAAATGTAACGCTGTTAAAAGAACGCAAGAACATAACACCATATGGTCTAGTCACAAAAAACCGCTTTTAGTTGCGAAAAGTAATAAAAAAATTTTCATGTTTGTTTTTATGTTAACAAACAATTGAAATTTAATAAAGAACAAATATTAAAAATTTAGCATAAAAGTTATGCTATATATGTTTTATTGTCAAACTTTAGCCTTTGAAAAAAAGTTCTAACGTTTTTCAGACCGTTTTTTTTACTAAAACTATCTAATAAACTTTTTTTGTTTGTTCTTAAATCAAAATTTTACAAATACGAGATTGTAAATATAAACTGTTCTGTTTACAATATAAAATATTGTATACATAATAAAAAATTTTTTCAACACCTACAATAAATTTAGCACAAATAATAGAGATATTAAAAATAATAAGTATTGCTTTTAAAAGACGATTTTGAACCAATTCTATTTCCATTTTCTGTTTACTGAAATCTATCACCTATTTAAATATTAGACCAATTAAAAAAGAAATTATCAATTTCTGTTGATGTACATTTTTCGTTTCATGTATATATATATATATATATATATATATATATATATATATATATATATATATATATATATATATATATATATATATATATATATATATATATATATATATATATATATATATATATATATATATATATATATATATATATATATATATATATATATATATATATATATATATATATATATATATATATATATATATATATATATATATATATATATGTATATATATATATATATATATATATATATACATATATATATATATATATATATATATATATATATATATATATATATATATATATATATATATATATATATATATATATATAAAGATATATACATATATATATATACATATATATATATATATATATATATATATATATATATATATATATATATATATATATATATATATATATATATATATATATATATATTTATATATATATTGGCATATATAATATTTATCAGTCGACATTTTTCATGTCGACTGATAAATAGGTTAAGCATGCAAAGAGTGCCGCAACATTGACTGAGGGTTTCGGTTTCGGCAGGCAATCTATCAATTTCAAAACAATATTAAAAAAAAAATTTTTTTGCGGGGGATTTTTTCTAGGGGGTTTCTTCTCCGGGGGATTATTTCCAGGGGGATTTTTTTCCGGGAGGAAGGTGGGGGGGGAAAGGGGAGGAGAGATTTTTTTATTGAACTAATAAGGAAGGAAGGAGGGGGGCGGGGGGGAAGGGGAGGAGAGATTTTTTTATTGAACTAATAAAAAAC